GCTCTCGACGTCGGGTACTACAGCTCTACGGGTGCAAGAGTATGCCTCCTCAAGCACCCGGGCGTCAAAATAGAAGAAGTCCAAGGGAAGAACCAGAACGAGCAAAAGGTCGGCAGGAAACGGCAAGCAGATAGGAGAAGAGGGGGGAGAAAAACGAAACAGAAGGAAAAGGAAAAGATGCCCAGCAGAATTGGAGAGGACGGCAGCAGGAGCACAAGGCTAGAAAAGGACAGAGGACTGTCCCAAGGAGCATCACACTCCGACAGCCGCCCACCAAGCCCCGACACGGCGACAACGAGCTGAGCGGGGAGGGGGGGCCAATCATAAGAAGGGATCAGCTGAAGCTCCGCCTATTTAATGACGTCATCTGCAGTGTTCAGCAACCCTTCTTATGACTTGCTGTTTCAACTCATCTTTTCAAATTGAATATATCATAAATAATCTAGGTTAATGAAATGTATAAATGCTCTTTCTTCGGTATATGTGATGATTAATCAGCAGTTTTGCTCCAACTTAAAAAACTAAAGAAAATCGGCTTTATTATGTTTAAATGTTTTTTTTGTTTTTCATTATTTATTCCTTGAAATTTTATCATAAATTTTGTAATTGACTTCAATTTTGCATAATGTTGCGTAGCTTTGATTTATGAGAAATAAAAATATTTTTGTGTGTAGCCTTTTATTGAAATCTATAACTATCTCACCTTCCTGTCCAACCCATTATTTCTGTACATTAACTCAGTCTCCCTCTACCCATTTACCAGTAACTATAACCTAACGTAGAAGGAAAAACTTCAATATTTAGGAACGAGAACATATGCAAGTACTAAGAGGGGATATATATACACCGCGAGGTATACCCCACTTGATGCATACACAATAAGAGTCTACTTTACTCTTAACCAATATCCTGAGCTAAATTATACTTGCTGGTTGGTTAGTAAGCAAAGGTGGTGGCCTTAATAAGCCTCGGGAGACATCTCCCGTCACGCAGGGTGCAGTCGCACCTCCACAGATCTCCAGTATCAGCTCTTGATACTGGTAATGGCTCAAAAAGGGCCACCACTTACGGGCTATTCATGCCCGTGCAACCTTTTGGGTGGCTTAATCTTCATCAATCAGCCTTAATAAGCCTCCAGAGAATGACAGGCCTTCAACATAACACCCAACTTAATTACGTACTATTTTAGTGATATATGTGATACGATAATCACAAATATAAGTTCACAGTAAATTTTGATTATCAGTCAAAAATCACGCATCTTCACTGGCATATTCTGTGGCCAAGACAATCTTTAACCGTTGCTGTAACATTTATTAACTTATATATACTTATAAATATACACAGGTCTGAATCCATGAGCCTCCTTATGGCTCTCACTGATTTACTTATATATCAATATATATTTTTGTATTGAGAGAGAGAGGGAATGGAATAAGTATTGTTCTATTGTTATTTTATGTAAACATTTTCTGTATTTCATCAAGAATAAACCTCGACTTGTAAACATTTTCTGTGTTTCATAAGGATTAAACCTCGACTTACTCTATGGGAATATTTCATGCATGTTTAGTGACAATTCGGAGGTGATGCGACGAGTGTTTTTTACTAATGCCATCTAGGGGCGGAAAATGACACTATCAACAAGCCAACAGCAGCCCATAAGGCAGGTTGTTGTTGTGCTGAAGGTCATTTTTTTCCCGTGAAAGAATGTGATTGGTAGAAACTCTGTGTTTACATCCCACGACAGCCAATCAGAAGTAGACGAAGCTCCGCCCATTTAATGACGTCATCTGCAGTGCACAGCAACCCTTCTTATGGATTGCTGTTTCAACTCAGATCTTTCCAAAGTGAATATATGCCATAAATTATGATTTGGGATGTTATTTTTTTAATATATGACGAATCATATAAGTATAAGTGAATCATGTAAGCAGTGTAACTTATTGACTTTCGATTTTTATATCTAATTGTTTTTTTAATTTCCCATAATCGTATGTAACTTTGATTTCTGAGAAATAATTCAAAACAATTTGTAGACTTATTTAAGAAGCGTCTGCAACCACCTTAACCTTACTCAAGATTTATTGAATCCTAATCCTCGCTCTGTCACCCCTTCCTTACCACATCCTTTGGTTACCAAACTCCAAACTTGTTCGTTTATTAATTAATATTACCTTCATATGAATGTATATAATGTATCATATGGATATCTATAATATTACCTTCATATGAATGTATATAATGTATCATATAGATATATATAATATTACCCTCATATGTTGGTGATGGTTTTAATCCCTAATTTAATTTCCATATCGTTTAACCATTAAATTAAACTAGTGTAGAGTTTTATGTTTTCAATTGTGTACTCTGTATTCTACATTTGTTACCATACCATTAATTAGAACATTCAGTCGGAGCAATGATAAGGATTTGAACCTGCACACTGGGTACACACACCTTAGACCAATTAACCACGACGAGATAACATCTAAGGACAAGATGTAACGATGCTGTTTGTGGTTAAGCGGTCTAAGTCGTGCTCCTGGAAGCACCAAGCAGTGTGCCGGAGCCTCATGACTTCTCATTAATTCATACAATTAATATGATTTCTTTGTGAACCATTAATTGCTAAAACTCAAGTTTTTTCCCCCTCTGTTGTTGATGTTGTTTCAGATTCAGCTACTCAAAACGAAGTGTCCATGTAGCACGGGCTATGGTGAGCCCGTAAGTTTTTTTCCCCTCTTGGGAAAGGATGGAAGAGCGACGATCTCCTTTCACACAGGTCGACGTAGGAAATGTATATGTTTATCTCTCAGAATGTTCGGTAATACGTTTATTGCTTGTGATGTGAATCTATGTATGTATTAACACGATGTACTGAACGGGGTGAGAATAGCTTGAGCTACCTCATCCCTTTGTGTGTATTTTACCTCAATAAACTTATTTCAATTTCAATTTCAGGTCAGCGTTCAATCCCGATTCTATCTATTCAAGTTCAATCTATTCTTTCCTCCCCGTCCCATACCAAATCCTCATCCTGATCCTTTCCAAGTGTCATCTAGTCGTAATAACTTGGCGCACTTCCCCCTGATAGTTACCTTACCCTATCTTGAGAGTTGGTGGTTGGGGAAACTTCTGATGTTTATCGGGATGACTGGAGAGACGAGATTGTTGTGGACCGATGACCCCAGACAACACTGAAATGGTCCTTACACACAGAGATCACACTAACGTGATGCATCAAATGAACGAATCCACAAGGGTCGTGCCGAGGATTCGAACCTGCGTCCGTGAGCAAGTGTGATCTCTGTGTGTGATGATGTAAGGGCGAAGAGGGAGAACGGCCTATTGACATAGTTCGTGTGCAGGGGGGAGTTGTGTAAAACCCTGGTTTGTGCCTCGGAGAGGCTACGGGATCCAGTAAGTTGAGTAGAACTTCGGTTTCAACTCTTTTACCCTGTCGTAGCTCAGTCGATTAAAGCAGTGTCTGGGATGCTCCCGAAAGCAGGTTCGAATCCTCGTCACGGCCCTTGTGGATTTGTTCACTGAGATGGTCCGCTTGGAGTAAACAGCAACTCTGCTTGTTTTGGGTGTTGAAGCAGAAGGGAGCGGGGGCGAGGCTATTGTGCAACTCTGTGGCAAGTTGAGCAACTGCACTCCTCGCCCCGGCAACTTCCAAATTAATCATCACAACGCAATGTATGAAGAGGTGCTCGTCACCGCTGCCCGTTTGTTCGGCCGAGTTTGTATGGAAAGAAAATGCGAACTGCCCTGTTCATTGTGGGTCAGTTTAAGGGGGTAACTGAAGTAACTGTATTATGCCCCCTGGTTCTATACATATTTTAGGTGAATTTACTATTTGAGCCTGTTGGATTAACCTCTTTTGTATCTCTTGGTCCCCCGCCTTTCTAACTGTCTAACTTACTGACTTGTGACCTGTTTGTTGTTGTTTAAGATTCAGCTACTGGGAACAAAACGTTCCAAGTAGGACGGGCTATGGTGAGCCCGTAGTGGACTTACCTGGCACAGAAGCGGTGCCTTATCAGCCTCACGGCGCCTATATATAAAAGCAAATCATGCTGTTACCGACTTACGGGCTATTCATGCCCATGCCACCTCTTGTGTGTGGCTTAATCTTTATCACTCAATCTTTTACCGACAGCTCTTTGCCTTTTCCCATTATAAGTCTTTATATATCGTTGTCATGTCCCCATATTCCAGCATGGTGAGGCCCAGTTCCTTTAATCTTTCCCTGTAACTTAAAGCCTTCTTAAGCTTAGGAATAAGCCTTGTTGCATATCTTTGGACCCTAATTTCTCAATCTGTTTCTTACATTTACCTTTCATTAGTCTTGCTACCTTCATGCCATCTTCTGTCAAGCCTTCCTCTTATTTTTTTTTATTTACTCTTGTTCTATCCTAATCTTTTGAATCAAAATGTTTCCTTTATTATATTTTCCGTTATACTTCTCTTTAGTATTTCAAGACATTTCTAAGGTGTGTTATTTCCTTTCTTCACATTGTGATGAGAATTCAGATATATACATTGGGACAGTGTAGATAGAAAGATAGAAATGGTTAGAGATGGGTAAATGGAGATTGAAAGGGATACAAATTTAAAATAATACTAGAGAGGAAGCGATTGAACGAGGAGAGAGAGAGAATCTTGAATCTATCACTCATATTATAAAGTTTTTGGCTCTGTGTCCCAGTCCTACAACTGTCGTATACCTATAGTGCGCGCGTGTGTAAGAGACACACACACACACACACACACACACACACAGATGGTGACCAAAGAGCCAGAGCTCAACCCCCGCAAGCACAAATAGACAAGTACAGACACCATACATTAATTAAAAGTGAGCTCAAGACCATCCTTGTATGCTACAGAGCTGTAATCAGAGCTCCTGTAGTGTACTAGTAATACAGGACATGACCACCGTAAATGAAGTCACACATCACAGGTCAAAAGGTCAATAAACACTTAACAAGTCTGGGGACAACAACTTTATTTACACAAGTTCTTTTTACAAAAATACTCTTTTTTTTTATGACACCATTCTCAATTATTTAACTTTTGCCAATCCTTCTAATGTCTTTGAATATGAATATAAATGATACAACACAAACTCTTTAGTACTAATGTTTAGTATACAAAAAAAAGCTATCATGTTATTTATTAATGTCTCCAAAACACTGTAAAGCCACCTGAACTAACGTTAGGATAATCCACGGGAACCTTGGCCACTTTCCGAGAGAAAGACACAGTAAGAATTATGCATTTCACATTGGTGATTTAGGAGGAGTGATCTGGCCAATAACCTTATGTATACAATCTCTCAAACTTTTAAATTAATTAATTTAAGGCAAATAAAACTTCAGATTATACTGTATATGGGAGACACCTAACTATTCAAAAGATGCAAAAATATATATATATATATATATGTATATATATATATGTACTATATATATATCCCGCTGAATAATCCTACAGGCCCATTGTGCATGGCTTATCCTTTGGAAATTATGATCTGACGTATAGGCACTTTTTCTAATCTGTATCAATAATGACTAGTCCAGAGGAAATGCAGTATAAAGAGTAATGAAACGTGTCAAGGCCAGCACCGTGATACATAATGTGCGTGCTACATGGCATCCATGACACATGGGATGTGTGCAATACATGGGATCGTTGACACATGGGATATGTGCACGACATGGGCTCCATGACACACACACATCAGTATCCTGTCTTTTTTTTTTTTGAATAATCAACCCGTTCATGAAGTTCTAGACATGGAAACTTCTCTTGTAACGTCATAATTAACATATATATACTTTAAGGGTCGATGTAAGACCCAACGGTCGAGAAATACCAATAGGTAGGACTGAAAGTATGTGATAAGCACTGAGGAACCAATGCACATTTTGCGTAATTTTAAATATATAAGCTATTTCTTTACACAGCAAGAGATATTAGGCGGTGGCTTGTCGCTTTCCGTAATTCAGGAGGTCTGCCTCACGCAGCTTTGTTATCCACGTCGACCAAACTTAATAGAACATGCACTAGAATCATTTTTAACAATACAATGTGGGTGGTTTGAAATTAATCTCTTCATAGTATTAAAAATATTAATCTTTACAATGTCGAAAATCTAATGAAAATGTTGGTATTTTAAATATAAATAAAAATTAAAAATATCAAAACACCATCAGAAAAGACAACATACTGGCATAAGATTCATATCATAGTTAATTATACATTTGACTGAAATTATATTTTCAAACAAAAAATAATCAACTTTTCGTCAAGCTGAAAGATTCACCAGTTAGTTGTGTCTACAAATACGTACTAAATAAATGCACGAGCAGTGTATCAAAGTAGTAAATCTGAAATTCATGTCTTAGAAATGCTGATATCCAGTCAGAAAATAGAACAGGAATTCATCTAGGATCAGTCTACAACCTGACACTGAACCACAAGGCACCGGCGCAGGGGGGGCTTCCCTTGACGTGTTCTGAGGGGGATTAACTGGAGTCCCTTCAGCGCCAACTTCGAAGGACCGAGGAGTCCTTCGGTGACCTGCAGGACACCGAGGAGTCTGCGAGAGAAATAGCCTCTTATACAAAACTGATTATCGTTATTCGCAGTTTATTCCTGGCCTGGCGCGTGATCGCCAGCTCTGAGTATAATACTAACACTTTGTTCGATCAGTGACAGCGACAGTTCACGGGCGAGGGTTTGGTCAAACACAGCACCACAGTTTATAAAGTAAAGAATCCCCATGGGACATTTAACACCAAATGTGATCGAGTCCTTCGCTCTTACACCTTTCAAACAAGAGGAAATAAACACACAAAAAATTAAAAAGGCCGATTCACTGGCAATATACTGTTCATTCTTGACTACTTTTCGACTATAAAATCTGCTTCTCGGTCCTCAGAAGTTCATATATGATTGTATAACAAGACTATAAAAACACCTCCGAAAGTGAGGTTTGAATGAGAGTGGCAGTTTGTTGGTCACAAGGTTTCTCTGTTGGATCGTAGTCAGAATCCTGGAGTTCGGAGAGAGAGTCGTCCACGTCGTCCTCCTCGAGCGCCGAAAGGAACGACAAATCGGATACTCGATTATAATCCGTGCGGTGGAAGGGACGGCGACTCCGAGGACTACCCAGTTTACCGACGTCCTCCTCGACAGGAGGCAGGTTCGAGATCTTCGTCAATGGTTCAGGAAAATCATCTTCAATATCCGAGACAATGTTGTACTTGGAATTGTGGTCAAGATCGAGGTCTGGAGTGGAGCCAAGAGAGATGTTGTTGGCAAGAAGAATCTCTTCAAAGCTACAAGGGTCGTCATCGTCGTCGTCATCATCGTCGTCGTCGTCATCTGGAAGGTCTTGGGCGTCTCTGGCGTCCACGGACAGAAGAGGGGTAGCAGCTGTTTCTTCTTCAGGATTAACAGCCGCCTTTGGATCATAACCAGTGCCTGAAAATGTAAAATATGGATAAAATAATTGAAATATAATTGCATTTGTAACTGCATGCAATAGACACGTTTTTAGATAGTGGGAGAGTCTAAATTTGGAATGGTAACATATCCTTCAATTGTGCAAGGGGGCGATAGAATAACCCTCATATGTAACCTTATTAATTATTCTATCTACTGGGATCCAGAGGATGTTGAGGCGATTAAGTTCAAATCCAAGAAGCCTTCAACATGACCAAAAATCCTCAAGTATTATTATCTTATATGGCAGAACTAAAATCAAATGTTAAACTGGTCTGTCATGAGACTTGAAATTGTTTGGGTATTATGCGACATTAAACACGGGTATTCAAGCATTATTCAGTAAAGATTTTACATAAAAGAGGCTTTTGCCTGTAACCAGTGGAGGCCAGCCACTAGTATAACCAGTGGAGGCCAGCCACTAGTATAACCAGTGGAGGCCAGCCACTAGTATAACCAGTGGAGGCCAGCCACTAGTATAACCAGTGGAGGCCAGCCACTAGTATAACCAGTGGAGGCCAGCCACTAGTATAACCAGTGGAGGCCAGCCACTAGTATAACCAGTGGAGGCCAGCCACTAGTATAACCAGTGGAGGCCAGCCACTAGTATAACCAGTGGAGGCCAGCCACTAGTATAACCAGTGGAGGCCAGCCACTAGTATAACCAGTGGAGGCAGTCACAACTGTCCTACCAGCGTGTTTGACACATATACCCAATGTTTCCCTTTCTATTATACTCCGAATACAACCAAAAATACAAATCAATGGCATTAATCATATACACCGTCACAGCCCCCCCCCCCACGCCCCATACCAGAGAGAAGCCCGAGACTGACCCGACAGAAGCGGCAAGCTCTCCATGATACCGTCTTCGGCTGACGGACGCTCTCCGGCAGCGTCTTCGGTCACCAGCAACAGATCGGGCGTAGCCGCAACCGCCCCCTCACCGCCACCGAAAGTCCGGGAGCCACGCATATCGTAGTCGTCCCAGTGGTAACCTAAGGGACGCACCCGGGGGCAGAACGGACGCTGCATTAGCTGCCTGATACAGATGGCTATGTGCGTTGAGAGAGAGTCGAACTCAAGCGAACTGGATAAAACAGATTTTTCCAAGTGCTATATATACATGTGGATAAATATTTCTTGGGGATTCATCTTATTTAAGTGTATCTACACGCTACATGCTGAAACTATTCCCCAATATTAGGCTTCTGTTGACTAAAGATAATTATTACATGCTTTAAGAGCTGAGCTTTTAAACTAGTTCAGTACATGCATTATTTTTTTTCCAGGTGATATCTGTAATCAAAGGAATGGAATTGATCTTCAGCTATAACACTCATGAACTCTAAACCTTCTTGTTTTACGTGCAAAATAATAAGCTAATTACATATAGGCATTGCCATATAAACAAGTGTTGTGTAGCAGATATTCAGCTAATAATGTGCACTAGGCTAGCTAATCACATGAAATAATTTCAAAGTTGCGGTAAAAGATAGATACCTTTCTTCTTGGACGGTGTCGGAGCTGCGTGCGAGAGGGGAAGGGAGAGGGGAAACAATCACGGTAAGTTACTCCAACATCACACATGTGACACAGTACATCACGCAGCGCATTTTGCACTACGGTGAAAAATATACAACGAAAAGCCACAAATTGACAGACTAACGGTAGAAAAACTTACGCCTTCTACAGTTACATTTTAAATATTGTGCCGTTTCCATTGTATATATTATATATTAATATATATATTATATATTAATATATATATTTTATAAAATATACTGTATATTCAGTGAAGCATGACGTCAGGCTATTCTGCAAACCCGGGGAATAATTAGTGCAGGTGCAAAAGATAATTGAGAGTTTTTTGCACGACGCTTCATGTGGAGCAAATAATTACTGATGCCAATATTGAGACGCACATATTTTGCAAAAAAAACAACAAAACAAAAAAGTCTGTATATTATTTCTCATCTAACAAAACACACATGCAGTGTGGCAACTTCAATAACAAAAAAATGGACTGATGACACGCTGTTATATTTCAGTATTTTGTATACAATATATGACAGTCAATAACTGTTGCCATCACGAGTTTGAAATATTAATATCTGTTATGGTGAAACTTTCCCCCCTCCATGTGATAAATATGGCATCTGCAACACACTATTAATAAATACATAATGGAACATGCAGCAAGAAGACCAGCGGATATTGTGTGTGTGTGTGTGTGTGTGTGTGTGTGTGTGTGTGTGTGTGTGTGTGTGTGTGTGTGTGTGTGTGTGTGTGGGGTAGCGGCTTTGGTCGGTTTGTATAAGCCTTTTTTGGGAGATTTATGGAACTCTAAATGTTAGTAGTATAATTTCAGACGGGAGCCAGGTGTATATTACCAGAGAAGTGTGTGCTTGAGCAGGGAGCTCTTAGCACGGCTCACCACCAAGCCAGGCTGGTTATATCTCACCACAAATTAGTAGCAGCCAGAGGGATCAACATTAAATTCCACTCAACACGTAACAAGCCTGAAGACCTAGGGGGGCCACATTCACTTAGCAGTTATTCAAGCACTTACGAACCTGTACATCTTTCCTCAATCTTTGACGGCTTTCTTTACAATTCTTAAACAGTTAATGAGTTCCGAAGCACCAGGAGACTGTTTATAACAATAGCAACAGTTGATTGAGGAGTTTTCATGCTTGTAAACTGTTTAATAAATGTAACCAAAGCCGTTAAAGACTGAGGGGAAATAATGTACACGTTCGTAAGTACTTGCGTAACTGCTTGGTGAATCTGGGGCCCCTGACTTACGGTATCCCTTATCAGGACCCTTAAATCCTCCATTATCTCCTGGGTCTTGATCCAGAGGACCCGCAGCCGCGCGAGGGAAGGACCTGGAGCGGTCAGCGGGCGGGATGCGGTCTACAGTGACGACCTCCAGTGGGTGACAGCGGTCGGTCCTGCCCCGGCGAGTGAGGAGCGAGGGCCGTGGGAGCGGAGGCACGACTGGAGGTGTTGACCTCAGCCCACACACTGGAGCCAACCCCAGGCACTTGGTATTAACTCATGGTACAGCACTGTTCTTTATTATATAGGCGAATGAATATATGAACAAATCCACAAGGGCCGTGACGAGGATTCGAACTTGCGTCTGGGAGCATCCCAGACGCAGGTTCACATCCCAAATCCCTTGTGGATTTGTTCATTTGATGCATCACGTTAGTGTGATCTCTGTGTGGAATGAATATATATTCATATATCTATATAAATATATGTTACCCAGTACAGGCCCAGTACACTGGCGCCTGTACTGGGCCACTGAATATTTAAGTCACTGGTGCTAGTTTCACAACGATTAAAAAAAACACCTTTTCTTTAAACATGATCAAATTTCTCAACATAAAAAAAGAGGAAAAAAAAGAGCAGCAGCGTTAAAATTAGGGTGAATTATGTTCTCAATATTTTTGCTGAAATATATCCTTATATAATATAAATTCTGAAGCAAGCATGCTATTAGGTCAGCCTGGTATATATGTTGGGTCGGGTGTTAACATTCCTCAGTCACGCTGTGTCGTCCGCAAGCGTGTGTGGAGCAAGCATGCAGGCCGTCGCAAGCATGTTAGCTACTCAGAACGAAACGGCCATGTAGCACGGGCTATGGTGAGCCCGTGGTCGCAAGCAGGGACAGTCACGCTTTATGTCAACACCAACGGTTGGTGAAGCAGGCCGTCGCAGGCAAAGGACACGATGCACAGATGGCAGGATTTAGCTCAGCTCTCTTTGCTTGGGAATGCACCATTGTCTGGCATAACAGTCAGCACTCAAAGAGTGGATGCACTGAATGACCGAAGCACTCATATCAGCGGTTTGCTTCAGGAGGGAAGAATCACGCGTCACAAAGTTTCCATGAATTTTATTTACAAGTGTAGATGTTCCACATGTGTCTGTACATAAAAAAGGTGCACATCTTAAAATAAAAACAGAAGACTGTGAAAATCATTTAGCATAAGACGCTGCAGCTTGAAGCAAAAATGCCCCTTCGCAGCGCAGGAAGCAATACGCCTCAAGTCATCAAGAACTGGACTCAAAAATCATCTCATCAACCGCAGTCTTCCTCGGAGTTGCAAGGTTGCAACTGCATCAGCCCGAGACATGCTACGCAAAATGAGCCTCCAGTTGTTAATGCCTTACAGCACACTACGGACATCCGCCAGCGGGACAAACATTATTGACACTATTTTGTGCTGCGAGATGTTATGTACATTCCATGACACATTCCACGGTTTTATTTACAAAATTAAGTGTTTGAGGGGAAATTGCGTATATACAAAACGTTGTGGAGTGTGTGTGCATGCGTATGTGCGTGTGTGCATGCGTGCGTGCACGTATGTACGTGTGATATCGTCAAATCGTACAGAAGACGATTTGATCAAGCTGGTTTCCTGATTGTCAAAACCTGTGTGTGTGTGTATATATATATATATTATATATATATATATATATATATATATATATATATATATATATATATATATATATATATATATATATATATATATATATATATATATATATATATATATAATCAGTAGGTTAGCTTGCATTCGCTTAAGTTAGGCTGTGTTAAGACTCGGCTGAGATAGTTGAGTTGAATAGATTCTAAGACCCATTCTCAGAACCGTCTTGCGTATTTTGTGATGTGTTAGCCGTGTGGTGTGAGGGCGGGCGGAGGCACAGGGGGGGGGGGCGCAAGATCACCCCCCCTGTTTTCCCGAGTTACAACTCCAGGACAGAACACTAGATGCTACTTTAACATACCTAAGGAGTCGTCCGTGAAGGGAGAGTGCTGGCCGGGAGGAGAGGAACGCACCTCGCCCAGGTTAGTCACCAGATCACAGCCTACATCTGGGGAGACAGAAAGACCACACCTGCTGTATGTACAACCATAATGGTAACACCGGCTTATTGTATAATGCTTAATCGCTACACCGGCTTATTGTATAACCCTTAAACGCTACACCTTCTGACTGCATAACCCTTAAACGCTACACCTTCTGACTGCATAACCCTTAAACGCTACACCTGCTGACTGCATAACCCTTAAACGCTACACCTCCTGATTGTATAACCTTTAAACGCTACGTCTACTGATTGTATAACCCTTAAACGCTACACCTGCTGACAGCATAACCCTTAAACGCTACACCTGCTGACAGCATAACCCTTAAACGCTACACCTGCTGACAGCATAACCCTTAAACGCTACACCTGCTGACTGCATAATGCTCATCCCACCCAACACAGGTAAACACTGTCAAGAGCAACACCAGAGGTTACAGTGTGCTGAGAGAAGCAAGGAGAGATACAAAAGAAGAGTACAGTTACTGAATATGAGCTATGCTAAGTCGGGGATAGAGATACAGTCATTCGGGGCTACAGTCACTCGGGGACATGGAGACGGAGACACACACCTTCAGGTTTGGGAACACACAGTCATGCAGGGAAAGCCATACAGTCAGTCAGTTACGAGAATACAGTCAGGGGGGGGGGAGATAAACAAAGAATTCAGGGACAATACCAGCCAGAAACAATACCGTGGCTTCATACAGGCCGGCGTTCAATCCCCGACCATCCACAAGTGATTGGGCCACCATTCCTCCCCCCCACCCCACCCCCACCCCCGTCCAATCCTAAAGCGCTTGCGAAGCGCAGGACAAATGTTTTACCACTGCGCCACGGGGACTGCACCCTATGGCGCTTCCCCAATTGGGGAATTGGTCTAGTAGAGTGAAGGTGACCTGGGATGTGCACTGGAGGAAATATGAAATTGGAGAAGACATAATAACGACGTACAAGATACTCAGGGGGAACTGACAGTAGATATAGAAGCAATGTTCCAGTTATGGAATAGAAGAACGAGAGAGCAACACTGAAAACTGGAAACACAGTTGGGTCACAGGGATGCCAGAGATAACTTTTTGCAGTCTTAAGAATTGTAAATATGTGCAACGGACTAGATGAGGAAGTTGTTGAAGCCAGTTCGATACACAGCTTTAAAATGTAAATATGATCCGATAAACGAGAGAAAAATAAGTCACTGCATTGACCCATTGATGGTCGTATGGCGGGGCTTGAGAGCCGAAGCTCAACTCTCGCAAGCACAACTAGGCGAGTACAACTAAGTACACACACACCATATCACTGCAGCAATAAGCACACTGAGACCAATCCATCCGCTGAAGCAATTAAATGCAAGAATTACAACAATTACCCATTTCACCTGAACAGTTTCCAATTAACAGCTTTATAATGAAACAATAATACCCACACTTTCAAAAAAATAATTCCAAGTGGGACTCTACCATAGTAAACAGCTTTAAAATACTAAAAATCTAATGAAATTAACAATATGGACTTACTGTTTACACATTTAGGGCTAACATACATTATATATAGACTCATGGTACAGCTCGTCAAGGGACTTGCTGTACCATGAGAAGAAATATAAGAGGCAGTGAGCGAGCCGAGCACAAACTGTGGCGTCTTACTCTAAGGATGTCACATAACTGCCTTACAACATAATACCATTGCTATCCCTCTCTATTGTTATATCAATGCTTAGAGATGTTTAATTATTGCTATTTATAAACCACTAGATTAAATCAACATGTTATGACATTTTTCTACCTATTTATATAGGTATATATATATATATATATATATATATATATATATATATATATATATATATATATTATATATATATATATGTCGTACCTAGTAGCCAGAACGCACTTATCAGCCTACAATGCAAGGCCCGATTTGCCTAATAAGCCAAGTTTTCATGAATTAATATGTTTTCTCTAGTTTTTTTCTTACGAAATGATAAAGCTACCCATTTCATTATGTATGAGGTCAATTTATTTTAATGGAGTTAAAATTAACGTAGATATATGACCGAACCTAACCAACCCTACCTAACCTAACCTAACCTATCTTCATAGGTTAAGTTCGGTTAGGTAGCAGAAAAAGTTAGGTTAGGTTAGGTTAGGTAGGTTAGGTAGTCGAAAAAACATTAATTCATGAAAACTTGGCTTATTATGCAAATCGGGCCTTGAATAGTAGGCTGATAAGTACGTTCTGGCTATTAGGTACGACATATATATATATTATATGAAATATATATTCGTGTGTGTGTGTGTGTGTCTTGTACTACAAGCATATTAAACTCTTAAGTATCATCTCTGTCTTAGACACAAAATTGCACAGCCATAAAATATCAAGACGTTTTGCAGAAACCACACATATAGCTACCTATTGTATTCGTGATTTAGTAACTACACCCAGGTGTCTGCTGGCCCATGATACAGGTGTTCGGCGGAACATGATACAGAGGTGTGCTAAGTGTGCACTTTGACCCTCCCCCCCCCCCTCACATCGTATTGAAATATTCATGAAATTATTTCGATCCCGCGTACAAAATCTGATTCAGAAAACTGAATTTTGGTTCAAGAAAATAGCAACCCTTTGTAACATTTCAGATGACAAGTTCTCTCAAGTCTCTCTCCAGGTTCCTATAGTTTAAAATTGTTATTGTGTAACCACTTCTTTTTAAATGCAAATTATCAATAATCCACAGTATTTTAACCGAGGAAAACATTAAACTAAGCAAATAAATCATCTAAAAAAGGACCGAAGCTCCCAAGCACAATATAAGGCGTAAGCCTCTACTGATACAATAATTAAGCATATTCAAGCTAAAAGAAAATTGACCCAAAGACTAAAGAAAACACACACAAACACATACACACACACACAAACACACACGTATACCCATGCACACGTGTGAACACAAACTAAAATGCATAAATGAAGCTATTTGCAACATAACGGAGTCATGAAAAGCAAGGAAGCAGCTTTGTGGTAGCGGAATACTGATTGACAGCCCCTCCTCCACCGCTTGGCTCTTCCTCAAGTTCCTTCAACAGCACATTAGTTGATCACTCTGACGCCCTCAAGGGTCCTGGCCTCGGCTGCCTTGCTAACGAAGGCACTCAGATACCCTATAGTCGCTATTTTGTCACACTAGTACAACCTTGAGACGAAAGTAGCAGCGGTAAATTAATTGAAGAGATGTGTAAACGGTCAACTACTCGAGGACAAGGCCTCGAGGACAAGGCCTCGAGGACAAGGCCTCGAGGACAAGGCCTCGAGGACAAGGCCTCGAGGACAAGGCCTCGAGGACAAGGCCTCGAGGACAAGGCCTCGAGGACAAGGCCTCGAGGACAAGGCCTCGAGGACAAGAATAAACAAAATATTAACATTTTTCAAAAAGTAAGTTTTTGTGCCGATTTATTTTTCCGGTTTTAACCCATTTGTTCGTTCGGCTAATATGCATGCAGGACACAAGCTGCTTTTTACGTATTACTGTAAATTGAAACTAAGGGGTTTTTAAAGAAATATTTGACCTTAAACCCTCAATAATTACATATTAGTATTATTTGTTCGCTGTAATGAAGAATTTACATTGAATAAGCACACTATCATAGCAATTTGCTAATCAATCAAAGGTTTGAAGAAACTAACAGTGGATATTTTCTTAGAGAGTGGCAGAGGCTGGCTACACTCAGGATTGCGTTAGGCAAACAACCTGTCCACCTAATAGAACGTCGCATTTTGACGTATACTCTACCTAAGGCCAAAAATTGTTGTACTAGAAAACGATAGCGGCTCGCAAGATTGATGTGCTGTCCCGTTTTCTGTTTTGGGTCCTCTGGTTAGTTAGGATAAGGGCACTTTAACACGACAGTTTTTTGACGTTGGGAAACCTTAGGGGGACGAGCTGAAGCAAGAATATTCTTGCTTCAGCTCGTGGATGTTATTGGACGTTTGTGAGCCGGTATTCGTGGATGTTTGTGAGCTGCTACTTTTCATAGTACCTGTTATTTTTATACGTCGGGGGACCATAGCGTACAAAATGAGACGCATTAGTTGAGAGAATGGGTTAAAATGTAACCGAACCTTCAATACAGGCTCGAATTAGCAGGTAATTAGTGACCGGTAAGAATCTTGGTGATGAGTCAGTATTGTCTAACCTAAAGTACAGAACTTGTCTATTAACCTGAAACTGGCGGTGCCATCCATGAGGTTAGTGTTAAATATCTGTAATCCTGTTCACTGTAATAGTAACTGAAATGTGGTTGATGAATCCAGGAGTTAATAGTGACGGCCACACACTGAGAATTACTGAGCTGCATCGTATGTCGAGTTAAAAAAAAAAAAAAACCAAAACAGATGTTTAGATTTTGTGTAATGACTGTCACACTCAGAGTGACTCACCCTTGATGGGCATGAAGTACGAGTCATTAAGGTTGTTGTGGTGATCCCAAGGCTTGTGGAGCGAGTCCGAATCACTGTTGGAGGGCGGCGGTGGCGAAAGGTTGGGCGGCACCACCACAGGCTTGTTAAGGCTGTGGAGGAACTCGTGGGAGCACCTGGACAGTGTCTCCAGCTCCAGGCTCTCGTGGCCCGCCGCGGACAGATCGGCCAGATGCTTCAGTGTGTTGAGTATGACGGAGTCGGTGCCGCTGGGGGTGTAAGAGGCGGGGCGTGGTGGCAGCGGAGGACCCTGCTGTGTGCCACCAAGTGCAACGAAAGGAAAGGGAACTCAAAAAACCGGCAAGGAAATAAAAGGGAATAAGAAGCAAATGACAAAATATGTGTTGGACAAAGTATATGAAGATAGCTATAAACCAAAATGAAAAATGTAGACGTTTTCTACAGCATCTATATCTACATGAAAATAATATATATAATCCATAAAAACGTGACCATTACCTGGTCAGCCTCCACGTTGCAAATTTTCGAATTTCTCTTTGGCGCGTCATTGGCCTTGAGATCATTCTTGACGTGGTGGTCGGTGAGCTTGATGCGGTTGTTCTGCTGGTGGCGCTTGTGTCTCCAGCGGCGTCGTTGCCAGGCCACCAGGAGCAGCATGGCCACTACGCAGCCCAGAAACACCGCCAATATACATATTAGTTCTTCCAGAGTTATGTTGAGGGCGGACGAAGGTGTCTGTGGCCTCGTGATGGCCTCCGTACAGTACTCGCCGGTAACGTTAGACACACATATGCACTTGAACCCACCGTGGAAGTTGAGACACGTGCCTCCGCTCTGGCAAGGATTGCGAGTACATTCATCTATATCTAACTGGCACATCGCACCTGTGAAGTGTTGACACTTACATATTGGCCCATCAGCACCTTCTTCACATCGGCCTCCATTCTGACATGGATTGGGGTTACAAAACACTCCATATTCGCAACGTTTTCCACTCAGTTTTGATGGACACTGACAGTTGTATGTGTGGCCTACAACAACGCATTTACCCGCATTAAGGCAAGGCGAGGAAGAGCAGGGAGCCGTATCCACTTGACATTGAACACCTGTGAAACGCGGAGGACAAGTGCATTTATAGGATTTTTCATTTTCGACACACGTTCCACCATTTAGACAAGGGTAGGAACCACATACACCAGCAGGAGGGAGTACATTAGGGCACTGAAGTTCTACATTAGCTAAACGTTTGAGCACAGCACCCCCTGACGAAGATCCCGTAATGCTCACTGGAAGCTCTATGCCATCTATGGTAACCTGGTCAAGGCAACCTACGAACCCAAGACTGCTATGGGAATAGGAAGACATACCAGAGGTTTGCTCAATGCCAATTGTGGCACCCAAGTACATAAAGTCTGAATCCATGTTTAGGATATCGTTAGCTCCTGGTGCTGCACCTGAGCTTACCTCACCATCGACACTCAGAGTAGAGATTGTGCCCTCGCGGGTAAGGTTGATAAAATGCCACTGATCATTGTTCACTCTGATGGTTGACACTCTCACCAGACCTTCGCCACTTCCACAGTCCCAGCGGTATTGAACATGGCCACCAACTACCTCCAATATACTGTAGTCTACTTCTCCAGCAGCATAAACAATTGTTCCCACTGGGTTCCTGGTACGGAGGAAGACACTAAGGACAAGAGCGCTGCTTTCAGCTTGGCGAGCCACACTGTACTGAGCATAACTCTTACCTCTGAAAGACAAAGGCCTCAGCGGGTAATGGCATGAAGGACTACGACACTTTGTTAAATCCACTTGGCATGACGGTCCAGCGCGTCCTGAGGGGCATTGACACGTGTAGCCACGAGCGCTGGCATCAGTGGGAGTACATTCTTCGTACTCTGCACAAGGCCGGTGTCCGCAAGCATTCACGAGGGTTTCACACTCATCCCCACCATATCCCTGATCACAAAGACATCCAGCTTTCTGGTGGAACCTCGGCGCAACTAAACTTGAGAGCTGAGTATTAAAAGGGACAGACACATCATCACTGATCTCCACCACATCAACACACGCCCCGTGCCCGCTACAGTCAGTCTGGGTCGTACACATGGAATCCATCACTGCCAGCAAAGACAAGCCAAGTCTCTCTTGCACCTGAACTTTCTTAGTTTTTAACTGTTCGAGTAATTGCTCTCTTGAGAAAAAGGAGTTATCAGGCTTCTTCACAACAAAAAGCACGTCTAAACTTCTCTGAATATCTCTTTTCGTACGCTGTGTGTTGTAATCAATTTTTTCCAATGAATAAGAATGCATAAGCGATGGCTGGAGACTCATAACCGTAATTGTATCCTCCATAACAGAAAATTCAGATGCAATTGCTCTCAAGAAAACTTTGTGATATCTTGAAAGAAATTCATCGGGAGACAGTGGCCCTATTTGAACAATTACAGAGTTCTCGACCATTTCTTCGGTAATGACTGACACATAAACCGTAGCTTGAGCCGTGCGGTGGTACCTACCGTCAGACACACTAACATTAACACTGTAATTTCCAGAGTCAAGGGGAGTCAGAGCCACTAGCGTGCCATCTTGACCATCAATGTCAAAATATTTAATGGAACTGATCTCTCGAGGATATGGCGCAATAGAGTACTGAAGAGTATCATAAGGGTCCTGGTCGAGTGCGGTAACTCGACCGATGATACCCCCTGGGAAGGCAGTTTGATAGCTGATGATAGTAGAGGTGAGAGGGAAGAGAGTAGGGGGGTAACGAGACTCTTCCACCACCGTGACGGTAACTTGGGTGTTGGCGTGTAGGGGCGGCGACCCACTATCCCACACTCTCACCTCCACCACATACTCATTCTGAACCTGGTGGCAAGAGATGAACGGGCTTAGTGAATATATATATTAAAGATATCAATAGTCTAACTTTTGTAGAAGGAAGAAAATACAACACTTATGTAATGATACAAGAACAACAGCTCAAAACGACAGAACGTTGAGGCATTCTGTTAGTGTGGGAACACTATCTTGAGGTTATCTTGAGATGATTTCGGGGGCTTTAGTGTCCCTGCGGCCCGGTCCTCGACCAGGCCTCCACCCCCAGGAAGCAGCCCGTGACAGCTGACTAACACCCAGGTACCTATTTTACTGCTAGGTAACAGGGGCATAGGGTGAAAGAAACTCTGCCCATTGTTTCTCGCTGGCGCCCGGAATCGAACCCAGGACCACAGGATCACAAGTCCAGCGTGCTGTCCGCTCGGCCGACCGGCTCCCTATCACTGTGATGCTAAAGTTCCAATACTAATGTTTACAAAAACGAGTCTCACTCACAGACTAACAGCTCTTGGAGGACTCACCAGGTGGTTGAGCTTGTTGGTGGCAAGTCTGAGGGAACCATCTTGGTCGAGGGTGAAGGCACGGTTGTCGGTGGCCTGGTTAACCACCTCCCAGGTGAAGGGCGCGCCGTTGGGGTCAGCATCGGCGTCGTTAGCCATCAGCCGCAGAAGTGAATGACCAACCGGCCGGTTCTCCTGGTGCGGTCAAACACAACATACATATTTACAATACACAATAAAATCACAATAACGCAATATATCTGAGGAAAATCTTCAAGGATGCATGTAACCTTTTAGCAGGTCGTCATGGGTTAAGATGTGCAACTGGGGTGTGTCTGGATGCTGGTTCAATACTGCCGACCTGCTCTAAAGATTCCTATACACATAGTAATACGTATATTATGTTTGTACCTAGATTTTCCCCCATGATAATATGTACCATCAAACAACTCGAATCTAATTAACAGTAAATGTCGTCTCATTTACTTAATGAATCGTGGATATTCAAACCTCTTTTTAAGCCTTTTTAATCAGTAAAAACGTTGTGTATATGAATGCTCTTCATTTACGTTTAGCAAAGCAATTGCTACCGAGAAACAAATAAGTGTCCTGTTTAATGCAGAAAATTACACAAATTACAAGCTTACATTGCAGTTATTTCTGCAAATTCCAATTCCCCAATAATGGTGTTTACTTACAGCCCCTGGTAATGTCACGCCTATTTTACTTTAGGCAAACAATTTGCCGGTGAATTTCGTCCGCTAATTCCTCCCACTGCTATTTATTATTAGAATCCTGTTAGCTTTTTACTACTTTTCAAAAGCCTTCATCAATCTTTTTTTTTAGAAAAACACAAAACAAAGAGGTATGAGGGTCAGTGTTGACTTATGTACAGATGCGAGACGATGATATGGTGTTAACAAACAAGAGTGTGACCAGTGACCATTGTCAATTTGAAAAGCTTATGTGGTGTTTAGAGAATAGATAAATTAAGCAATTAAAATATCATGGAATAATGTTGTGCACAATATTGATCACCCACAAGAACAGACGTTGACAGAATACACAGCCTGTCTTCTACTATAGTAGTATTATAGAAGCCGTGACCTGAAAATCAATTTAAGTTCACGTATGCTTAAAATTTTGCCAAGTTGCTAGTGGGACAAGGCAAAGTGTTAGCGGTCTAAGCAACACTAAAAATTTATGATCTAATATTTTGGTTGTAATTAATTTGATAAGAAGAGTGTAATACTTAAAGAAAGTATTGCATGATATTCTCGTAATTGTCATACTTCAACTAAAGTGCTTCACTCTGCAATTATTACAGTAAAAAAAAATCATTAACCAGCAAATGAGAGAGAATAACTCAGTGGGCACATGTTGGCCAAACTACGTTGATTCAACGTTGAATGACGTTGAATCAAATGCGCGTCTATTTAGGAACCTTTTCTCCATCCTTGGCAGCTATGTTTACATTTATTAACCAGTTTATGAGCTCCGGAGTACTAGGAGGCTGCTTATAACAATAACAAAATTTGACTGGAAAGTTTAGATGCTCATAAACTGTTTAAGAAATGTAAACAAAAGCGCCATAGATTGAGAAAAGTTGTACGCAAGTAGATGCGTAAATGCTAGTCGAATCCTAATCCCGGAGAATATTTCCCCTCAGATCCTAAATCTGGATATCTGGAACATTAAGCAAGGGAGAAGAAACTTTCCAGCGCTCCGGCTGAGCGTGGTTCACAAGAGCACTCACCTGCACGACAACCGTGTAGTTCTGCCGAGTGAAAACCGGAGCGTTGTCGTTGACGTCGCCGACCAGGAGTTCGACCTGAGTGGTGGCAGCGTTGGAGGGGGTACCAAGGTCTCGCGCAATCACCGCCAACACGTACTTTCCAACCTGCGTTGAAGACGTGCTTCCAGTCAGAACAGTGACACAATCAGCAGCTTAATATAGTTAGAAACATTTTATGGACGACCGCGGGGCATTCCCAGATTTCCAAGCTTCTTTAATCTATTCTACAGATTATCTTTTTTTTTTGAGAGCTAAGTATGAACTTTAAGGTTCCAATACTTGTCTCGTTTATCTTACTAAATATACAATACCACGTTTAGTTCACCCATCTGGATGTCTTCAGGCCATTCATACGTAAACAAAATATAACAAAAGAAAATTTTCAACAGGATTTTGATAAAAAAACAGAATGACTCCGTTTTCTTGCAGGTCGGCGTTCGATCCTAGATAGTCCGAGTTGATGGGCACCAATCCTTCCCTCAGTCCATCTATTCCAGCTCCTCGTATCCCTTTCATGTGCTACATAGTTATATTGGCTTAGTGCCTTCTGCTCATAATTTCTTTAAGCCACAATGACTAAGAGAGAGCACTTGGAAGGGATATCAGGACAGGATAGGAGCCGAGATAGGTGGACGAAGGCAGAGAAAGGATCGAACGCCGACCCTGCCAGAAGCGAAACCATCTCTACAGAAACCAATCTAAACGAGTAAATCACAAAATTATAAAATACTACATTGATGAAGGAGACAGGATTGCCTACGTAAAATCAGAGATGAATGGTTTTGTGCTTAAAAATCTGTGAGAGTCACTCAACATTTGCCAGATCTGGTGACATCTGAATGTGGGACGTTACCGGAAATTCGAGATTTCCTGGAGGAAAAATGTGGGAGAAAGTTCTCAGAAGGAAATAACACTATATATGATGGCCCACTCAACCCAATAATGCAAATAAGTAGAAAGAAAATCCTTTATTACCTTAAAGATGAATGACCAAAGTGTATCAACACATCTGCATTAAAAAACAGGTCCAAGAGCTAATAGCTCGATTCTGCAGATACAAATAGTAACACACACACACACACACACACACACACACACACACACACACACACACCTAACGTTGTTACGAGAGATGACCTAGATGAAAGATTATCAGATAAAAAGGCGACAGCAGAGGAGGTAATGAAACGGCTGAAAACACTGGATGCAACTAAAGCAGTTGGATCAGACAATGTATCACCGGGGATATTAAAAGAGGCAGCGAAGGCCTTCAGCATGCCTCTGGCAAGGATCTTTAACGAGTCACTTATAACAGGAGAGTTGCTGGAAGAAGGCAATATGGTACCAATCTTCAAGCACTTAAGGATGCACTTTACTACAGACCTGGATCACTGACTAGTATTCCCTGCAAAATGCTTGAAAGAATAATAAGGCTAAGACTTGTTGCACACCTGGAGAACATTAGGTTTCTAAACAAACATCAACATGGGTTCTGGAAAGGGAAATCATGCCTAATAAACCTTTTGGAATTCAATGATAAAATAACAATCAAGCAATCCAGCCCACATATATATTGTCTCTAGTACATCACCTTCTCCCTGTCCAGCTTCTTCAAGACAGTAATGATGCCGGTGTCGTGGTCGATGCCGAAGCAATGGTCGTCGTTGCCGGCCTGAATGCTGTAGCGAACGAGGCTGTTGACCCCCTCGTCTATGTCACTGGCCGAGATCTACAGCAGATACAGAAAGTAAACTTTTAATACCGTGAACAACACTCATCCAGTCATTCGTGTCTGATGGAAAGAGTGGGGGGATAAAACTAAAGGGGGCCAAATTATACTAAATCTAATATTTTGCAAGTTTCATTCTTCTCCGTTTTCTTCATTCAGGTCGGCGAATAGAACGCCATCGGCTAGGAATCACCTGTATTACGCTGGAGCCCTGCAACGCGTCCTCCCTGACGGTGGCGGTGTAGGAGGGCAGAGTGAACACCGGAGCGTTGTCATTGACGTCGGTGATGGTCAGATTGACGAGGGCCGTGGCGGAGAGGGGCGGTATCCCTCCGTCAGTAGCCACCACCGTCGCCACCACCTGCTGAATACGCTCGAAGTCCACTGGTGCCCCGATGCTGATCACACCTGTAAGCCCCCGACACATTAGTTTAGTCTGCCTTGAGTTGCTTTGAATTTCAGGATTTTTACCCATTTTCATGACGAGTAAATGGGAAGTGGTTTTTGCCAAACCAAACACGTTCGTAACGTTAATATTGTCATGCTTTCAATGCCACTTAAGCACTAGAATTTTGACGTAGGTGTACTAAATGTGACGGCACTATGAAAATATAAAAAAATGGTATCTAAAGCATAAATAACGGAGCAAAAAAAAAAAAAAAAAAAAATATATATATATATATATATATATATATATATATATATATATATATATATATATATATATATATATATATATATATATATATATATATATATAATTAGTGTGTAAATCACGAAAATCTGGAAGGAATCATTCCTTCTGAAGATATATTAATATACGAAAGTACTTAAGGAAATTCCTGTTTCAATTCTTCCTCCGTGGTCTGACACTGTCATATAATATATATATATATATTTTATTTATATATATATATATATATATATATATATATATATATATATATATATATATATATATATATATATATATATGTCGTACCTAGTAGCCAGAACTCACTTTTTGGCCTACTATTCAAGGCCCGATTTGCCTAATAAGCCAAGTTTTCCTGAATTAATATATTTTTTCTAATTTTTTTCTTATGAAATGATAAAGCTACCCATTTCATTATGTATGAGGTCATTTTTTTTTTATTGGAGTTAAAATTAACGTAGATATATGACCGAACCTAACCAACCCTACCTAACCTAACCTAACCTATCTTTATAGGTTAGGTTTGGTTAGGTAGCCGAAAAAGTTAGGTTAGGTTAGGTTAGGTAGGTTAGGTAGTCGAAAAACAATTAATTCATGAAAACTTGGCTTATTAGGCAAATCGGGCCTTACATAGTAGGCTGAAAAGTGCGTTCTGGCTACTAGGTACGACATATATATATATATATATATATATATATAATATTTGTCCAATAAATGAAGAATAATTTATATCATACTCAAGAAAGCAAGAACCAGGTATACATTGCCTTGGTACATCGTAAGCATCGAAGCTGTGATTATACCCAGAAATACATCCAGTACATAAATACATTCATACATAAACAAGTATGCACACACTGCAGAATGAGTCTCTCTCTCTCACTCACCGGTCTTGGGGTGTATGAGGAGGAAGGTGTCCCTGGTGGTGTGGTGGAGGGTGTAGGTGATGTCAGCGTTGACGCCGATGTCCCTGGAGGTGGCCATCACGCGCACCACCTCCGTCCCCACCGCCGTGTTCTCCGCCACCGTCGTCTCGTGCAGCTTCCGCACGAACTCCGGCGCGTTGTCGTTCACGTCTGTCGTCGTAACACGCACGCACGATGATAAAATGATGTTGGCATTAATAACGAAAATGAACCTCTCTCACTCGCGCGCGAACACACACACACACACACACACACACACACACACACACACACACACACACACACACACACACCTACCTTTCCCCACTCCTCAAAGTTTTATAGTAGGAACTAAGTCTGACAATATACTTTAGGTGAAAAGTTTGAATCGAACATTTTCACTTTTAAGTGAAAAGTTTATTTTAGGTGAAAAATTTGAATCTTACATTTTCACTTAGGTGAAAGGTTTAAATAAGAAAACTGTGGAAAATATGTCAGCCATAACCCCTTGAACCCCCTATTATAAGCCTGACTGATATCCTTGTACCAGTACCCATAATACTCAGCCAGGGGGGGGGGGTTAACATTGAAAATATTGGTGGGTAACGAAGGCTAAAAAAAAAAAAAAAATAGAAATAAAAGTATATATACTTTTTGTTATACCACTTTAAACCAAATTAGTTGGAAAGGAAGGGAACTATCAGGAGAAAGCGCCAAGCCATTACGATTATATATAGCACTTGGAAGGGGGAGGACAGGATAAGGATTTGGGATGGAATGGGGGTAGGGGAAGGGGGGGGGGAAGGAATGGTGCCCAACCACTTGTGGATTGAACGCCGACCAGCACGAGGCGAGACCGTCGCTCTATACCGTCCAGCCGCAAGGAAAAATAAGCCTACTGACCCGAGACGACGACAGTGAGTTGAGTGGTTGCCGAGAGTGGCGGGACGCCCTGGTCCACGGCCCGCACCGTCAGGGTGTAGACGTCCCGCGTCTCCCGGTCCAGCGGGCGGGCCAGACTCACCACGCCCTCCGTGGCGTCGATGGTGAAGTGCCCGTCAGCGGAGTCCACGAAGGCGTACCGCACCCGCCGGTTAATACCTATTGAAAATAGGGAGAGAAAAAGATATGTTCTCCGTCAAGCCTATTTAAAAATACACTTCGGGCATTGCCAATTATACCACATCCTCGGCTGCAGGTATACCAGGCATACCAACTAACTCCGTGAGCGCGGGAAAAAAAGAAAGCAGGCGTACCAACCTAGATCGGGATCGGTAGCGTGGATCTTGAGGAGGACGGTGTTGACGGGGGCGTCCTCGGGGACGGTGGTGGTAAGGACGGCCTGGCTGAAGGTCGGGGGGTTGTCGTTGGTGTCTGAGAGTCGCACCTCGAGCCGCACCTCACACTGCCATGCCGGGTGCTCCCAGTCTTCCACCACCACCTGAGGAGGGGAAAATGGTGGGTCAGCAGCCTTGTTGGCTCCCGTCAGGAGATGCGTTGTCAAGTGTTGGTCGTCAGTGTTGGTCGTCTCGTTGTCAAGTGTTGGTCGTCAGTGTTGGTCGTCTCGTTGTCAAGTGTTGATCGTCAGTGTTGGTCGTCTCGTTGTCAAGTGTTGGTCGTCAGTGTTGGTCGTCAGTGTTGGTCGTCTTGATAATTTTTACAAGAAATCAAGGTTAAAAAAAAAAGTTTCAGACCACATTTCACATTTCCTTTAGGTCCGAATTATCATTACATTCTCTATCAAAAGAGAAAAAACACAAATGAGGAACACTAATGAAAACTGCAGTTACAGAGATCAAAATCAGAATTAATGTGAAATTCTATAAACGGGCCCGAGAGCTAAAGCACATTTTCAGCAACCACAAATAGACAAGAACACGCACACAAGAGATTATGAAATACAATAATGTATTTCAGCTTGAGTCTGTTCCAGGCGAATATAATAAAATTTCCAGTTGGAATTTCAAATTAATCAACGTGGTTTGTTATTATTGTCTAAATACGCTTAACTGTGTTCAAACACCAAACTCTCTCCAGAATGAGCTTAAAAGTATGGATGAGTATATATGTGTGTGTATTCATCTAGTTATATTCATCTAGTTATGCTTGCAGGGGTTAAGCTTTGCTCTTTCAGCCCCCCTCTCAACTGTCAATCAACGGTTTCTACTACTATTTT